TACTCCGGAGACCCTCGGAACCTGCTGTGTTTTTGCTGCTTGTTTCTTGTTTTTGTATTGTTGTTGAGCTGAGACGCAAGCGCGCCTTCGCCCCTTGTGCTCACTCTCATCTAGCACCCATCAAAGCCTGACCAGGGAGTCAGTTGATAAGAAACGGTGGGTCCCATTGAGCTTCGTGTAGTGCTCCGCTGTTAGGCTCCACGAGGCGCACCCATACAGGAGAGTCTCCACCACTTCAGCCTGGAGAAGCCGGATCTTGAGCTGGCGGGTGACCCGTCGCCTGTCGTACATCGAAGCGCTGTTCCGGCGGTAGCACTTCCACGCTCGGCAGCTGCGGCTCGTGATCTCCCGGTCGGCCTTCCCGTCCGCGGAGATGGTACGTCCGAGGTACACAAACCGATCTGTCTGCTTGTACGTCTGGCCGGCGGCGCTGACCGTGAACGGGCGTTCCTCGATCCCTTTCGGCAGCATGCACGTGATCTCCGTCTTTGGCTCCGACACCATCAGTCCGAACAGGCCGGCCACGCGCACGATGACCGACATCATCTTCTCGAGACTCTCCGGCGAGCGCGAGACGATGGCCGCGTCGTCAGCGTAGAGCATGTCTCACAAGGCCTCTGCGACCGTCACCATCATCGCCTTCTTCCCCGCCGACCTGCCCCTCTTGCCCGTGCACTCCACTCGTGTTGCGATCTTGATCATATCCGCCGTCACCTTGGGGTCCTTGTCGAACTCGGTCACTGCAACCATGAGCATCGCGGCAAAGAACAAGTTGAACAGCAGCGGGGCCAGGTTGCATCCCTGTCGGAGACCTTGGCCCACGTCGCACCTGTCAAGGAAAACTGTTATAACGTGGTCAGACACAGTTTACAATAGGTGCGACTGCGGCAACTAGCCTTCCGTGGACATAATACATGAGCACAGAGTTGTAGCGGAGATAATTTGGCAGGCGAGACTGTAGTTGTTTTATTGTTCCGAACCCCGAAATTCCGGTACTCGGGCCATTACTCCGGAGACCCTCGGAACCTGCTGTGTTTTTGCTGCTTGTTT